TTATGAATCGTAATGTAAATATCTGATATGCAGGATGTATTTTCATTGTTACAAATTGAACATAATTAAATCACAGTGATTAATCACAAAAACAATATGTAATTATATGTGTTTTCCGAAGGTCTTAGGCAACCCCTGTGAAAGGGTCGTTCAACCCCCAAAGGGGTCGCGACTCACAGGTTGAGAACTGCTGTACTAGATAATAGATACTTATCCTAGGTAAATAATTAGACAAATACCAAAAGAATATAAGAATGTCCTTTGACATAGACATAAGTATTAAACAATAAGGGACTGTTTAAGGAATATTGGTATGTTTATTCTATGAAATACTAAGTGGCCATTAAAAATGATGATATGGATAAATATTTACAGAGTCACAATCTTGTATAATATTAAATTAAAATGCAAATTACAAAGCATTATGTAGATTATAATCACATTTTTTAACTTTTTAAATGTCTTTTTGGCTCTTCCTTAAGTAAAATGCCAACTAATAAATATAGAAACAATGATAGAATTAGAAATTTAAAATTTTGCTATAATCAAAGAAATTGATTCAGGCAAGAATCAATGAATGCCAAACTTATAGGTGAAAGTTTGATAAGGAACAAAATATTTATTAGTTCCACCTTATCACCACACACATTACTTGTTTCTGTTCTTTTAAACAGTTTTATTGAAATTAATAATTCACCCATTTCAAATACACTATTCAATGTTGTTGTCTTTAGTATATTCAGGGGGCTGTACAACCACCATTGTAATTTGTAGAAAACTTTTGCCCCTTCCCTCCATCGGCAGTCAGTTCCCAATCCTTCCTTCCCCATACCCCTTGACAACCACTAATCTACCTCCTATTTCTAGGAATTTGCCTATTCTGGACGTTTCATTTAAATAGAATAATACAAATGTGTGGTTTTTTGTGACTACCTTCGTTCCCTTGGCATAATGTTTTCAAGGGCCACCATGGTGAAGCACTTATCAGTACTTCATTCCTGTATATGCCGGCTCCACCATTTGAGGAACTGTTTTCTGAAGGAGCTGCACCATTTTACATTTTCACCAGCAATGTATGAGGCTTCCAATTTCTCTACATTGTCACCAATACTTGTTACTGTCTTTTGTATTTTAGCCACCCTCAGTGTGAAATAGTATCACAATGTAGTTGTGATTTGAATATCACTAATGACTAATGATATTTAGTATATTTTCATATACACAGATTTTTTTCACAGGTTACTTTTTTAATATAGTTTTATTGATTTCAGAGAGACAGGGAGAGGAAGAGAGGGAGAGAAACATCAATGAGAGGGAATCATAAACAGCCCTTACGGTATAGTCCTTGCCTCTCAAGAAGCTCAGTTACACTGCCCCGCCCACCTGTCCCACCTTGCAGGCTGGGCCACGTGGGTCTTTTGGCGCAAGTGACACCCGGCTCCTGGCTACCCTCTTCTAGCATCATCGGATACACCAGGTGCAGATCCCTGTGTCCCAGTTTCGCTGCGTGACCCCGGACAATTTCACTCCCTGGGTCTCACTTTATACATTTGTAACGGAAGGAAGTTGGACCAAAATTGATTTCCAAGATCCCAACAAACATCTCGTTTGAGAGTCCACGTTGAAACTGTTGGCTTGGGGAGGTCACCACCTCTCTGCTCGTTTCCTCGTCTGTACAAGGGACACCATTACTAACCGCCCCCCAGGCTGGGCGAGGGCTCCATAACGCAGAGCCACCGCCAGGTGTCCGCGCCGCTCAGCGGACACCGCCTTCGGACCCGCTCGCCAGGACATTCAGCGCAGGCGCACTGGCGCCGCGGCCGCAGGTGCCAGACTTCCGGTTCCGGCGGACCCGGGGGCCAGGCTGAGGCTAATGGCGGCGTCCACGGAACAGAACCTTGAAGGCGTAGAGGAGGCCAAGGTGGAAGAGGAACCGCGAGTTCTGGAACCCGGGGCCGCCCCGTTCGGAAATTTCCCTCATTATTCCCGCTTCCACTCTCCTGAGCAACGGCTCCGCCTCCTGCCTCCGGAGCTGCTTAGCCGGCTCTTCCCTCCCGGTCCCGAGAAGAAGCCGGTTCTGGGGCTGGACGTGGGGTGTAACTCCGGGGTGAGTGACAGGGGAGGGGAGGGGTCGGCAGTCCAGCGGTTGGCTGCCTCCGTGTCTGCTGGGGTGCTGGCCTGGGCGTGGCATCACACTTTTCCCAAAACGCGCTTAAAGGCACAGACGCCCCGTTGATCTACTCCGTGTGCTCCTAGCTGCCCTCCCAGGCCCCGCTCCATCTGTCTTGGGAATCTCGGGGTGGAATTTTTCTCAACTACGTTCCGAATTCTCGCGTCCCCGCCTCCGCGTGCGCCACCTCGAAGCCAGACTCCGGTGGGAAGGGCCACGTGTCGGGGCTTCTGGCGCCTGCCTTCTGTCCAGGGTGGGCGGCGACTTGGCTGGGGGGCGGGGGCTTCCGGAGACCTCCCTTTAGAAGCGTGGGGTTGGGATTGGTTTACCCGGAGAGATGAGCCGGAGGTGACAGAATCGTGCCTGGACTGAAGATTCGTGCCCCTTGCGGTGCAGAATGGAACCTGGGGTCAAGATGATATTTATGTTAAAAGCACTGGGTTGAAGCGGTTCGCAACCTGTGGGTCGCGACCCCTTTGGCGGTCCAACGACCCTTTCACAGGGGGCGCCTAAGACCATCCTGCATATCAGATATTTACATTATGATTCATAACAGTAGCAACATTACAGTTATGAAGTAGCAACACAAATAATTTTATGGAAAAAAATAATAATCATTTTATGGTTGGGTCACAACATGAGGAACTGTATTAAAAAGGGCCAGAAGGTTGAGAACCACTGGTTGGTAGAGGATCGAGAAGCAAAAATAGCGCATCCTCCTGAAGGCAGGCATTGCCACGTTTTCTTACCGAAACGTGTTCTTCGGTGTATAAATGGTTATAGTTAAACCAGATGCAAAATAGCAAAATGTCTCTCTGACACCAAATGCTTCAAAAGTTAATGCCCTCACTCCACCTCCAGGAGTGGGAGCGGGTGGGGAGAATTTTATTGTGTTGCTGGTCATTGTTAGAAGAGATTTTGGTGGAAGGTTGAAGGCTATAGAGACACAACTGATAAAGGAGAGGGGGCCATTTGGATACAGACTCAAAGCTGGAATGAGCAAATGGGTGGCCGTGTGTCCCCTGCAAATATTTCTCCACTGTGATGATATAGGAAGTCTCAGGGGGAAAGCAATGGAAAAGAGACTAGGTTTAAGGCTGGGGGGTTCATGAAAGGCTTTAGTAAGCCACGGTGGATTTTAAAGTTGACAGATGTATATGTACACATTACAGGCAAGGACATAGTTGCAGTTAAGGGGGGCAGTAGTTCCCAAACCTGGTTGTACATTTAGGGAGCAAGTCTCTACTGACCTTAAATCCTCCTTTTCCCCTAAACAGTGGCAACTGCTATAATTTCTTGGGAATACACCCTATGTGTATGCAAGTATAAATATCTCCTCTCTTTTAGAGTTACAAATAATAGACACTAATTTGCACCTTGTTTTTTTTTTCTTTTTTATTGAATTTATTGGGGTAACATTGGTTAATAAAATTATATAGGATTCAGATGTACAATTTTATAATACATCATCTGTATGTTATATTGCACCTTGTTTTTCATTTAATAATTTGAAGGTCAATCGTATGTCACTTCATTCTTTTCAGCAGCTTCAGAATATTTTATTGTGCAGATGTGCCATAATTTATCTGGTGCTTTGTTTAAATTTTAAAGCTCCTAGCCCCCACTCTAAATCTACTGAGTCAGGATCGCGGGATATTAAGCCCTTGAGTCTGTATTTTCTTTCTTAAACTTCCAGGGGACTCTAGGACTGGGGAATTGAGGATGGAGAGAATGAAGAGATATGGTGGAGGAGGGACTGACGTAAAAAAAATGACTGGTCAGACATGGGGCACATCCAAGATCAGATAGGAGGAGGGAGACAGGGAAGAAGCAAATAGATGGGGAGGAGATTAAGTAGCATAAGATAGAACCTTCCTACTCAAAGTGTGTTCCTTGAACTGCAGCATCAGCGTGACTTAGAAGCTTATTAGAAATAATCTCAGTCTCAACCCCAGTTTGCTAACCCAGTTTATATTTTAACAAGATCCCTAAGTGATGTGTATGCACATTGAAGAGTGAGAAGCCTGGTAGAAGAAAGAATCTAATGTAGCCTAATTTGCTGTGTGACATTGGACAAGTAAACTCACTAGCCTCTGAACCATAATTTTTAAAATACAGGTGTTTTGTATGTTTTTTTGTGAACTATACCACACATAGAGAAAAGTGCATAAGACATAAATCTACACTTATGAATTATTATAAAGCAAACACCTTTATGACTACTTTCCAGAACAAGAATAAAATATTTTCAGTAGCCCACAAGTCCCCCAATATGTCTTTTCCTATTCATAACCCCCTCTCTCTACCCAGAGGTAAAAACTAGCCTTTTATTGTTTCTTTATAGCTTACTATTTTTGTGTCCCTAAACAGTGAAGTTTAATTTTATCCATTTTTAAACTTCAAATAAATGGGAGCTTATCGTGTATTTTATTTTATGCCTTGCTCTTTTACTCAGTATTATATATTTGTGAGAGTCATTCATATTGCTGCACTTAGCTAAATTCCTTCATTTTCAACTGCTACTTAGTATTCCATCTTAATGACTACATCACATTTATTTATCCATGTACTATTATAAGACATCTGGCTTATTTCCAGCATGCTTTCTTCACCTGCACAAAAGGCATAAATATTTCCTCACAGGATTGTTGCATAGAGCAAGTGAGGTCATGAATAGGAAAATGCCTTGAAAAAAATGTATAGAACAACACATTTGTTAGTAATAATGGTTATAGAAGTCAAAGTTAGAGAAAGGGATAGTGACTTGTTTAAGAGTTAAAAAAAAAGTGCTAAGATGGTGAAAATCAAGAATCACTGAAGAAGGAGGTCAGCAATGACTTTGGGAGTGGTGGAGGCAGAAGCAGAATAAGTCTCGGAAGAGGTAGTGAAATTGAAACTGTAGAGTGAAGGCTAGATGAGGACTTTTGGGATCCACTTTCCTAATCACAGGTTTGAGAAGCAGGTTTTTATAAGATGGTGTTTGCTCTATTCCTCATCTTCCTGATAACACCAGTGATGCCCCTGGAACCCTTTCCTCCTCCCTGAAGTCTGAGATACCCAAAAGAAAATAAAACAAAAAGGTCGGGAGTTTACCAGCATATTAAGCTGGTAAGTACTGCTCTATTTTTTCCTGCATCTATTATGCTGTAACTTTCAATCATACTATCCAATCTGCGTTCAGTCAGGAAAGCATACAGATGATTCATTACAGCCTCTCACCCCTGGAGGGCGCTCAGAGTATGCTCTGTGGAAAACTACAGATAACCCCCTTAGGCTACTCACACCCTCTAAAGCAGTGGTTCTCAACCTTCCTAATGCTGCGACCCTTTAATACAGTTCCTCATGTTGTGGTGACCCCCAACCATAAAATTATTTTCGTTGCTACTTCATAACTGTAATTTTGCTACTGCTATGAATCGTAATGTAAATATCTGGTATGCAGAATGTATTTTCATTTTTACAAATTGAACATAATTAAAGCATAGTGATTAATCACAAAAATAATATGTAATTATATATGTGTTTTCCGATGGGCTTAGGCGATCCCTGTGAAAGGGTCGTTTGACCCGCAAAGGGGTCGCGCCCCACAGGTTGAGAACCGCTGCTCCAAAACCAGGAGTAGGTGGCAGTCGCAAGAGATAAGAGGATAAAATTTTGAAAGAGAAAGAACTCATGGACAAGTGTGGCGATTGTGGGGGGAGGAAGGGGTAGCAGAGAGTATGGAGGGATAAATAGTGATGGGGGAAATATTAAAAAGATAAGAGTTTAGATATCTGTAATACTGTCAACAATAAATAATAAAGGTAAGTTTCTCTTCTGTTCACTGGTTGGAAGCTGCAATGACAAAGCTCTTTTGGATTCCTCTAGGATCTAAGTGTGGCTCTGTACAAACACTTCCTTTTCCTACATGATGGGGAGACCCACTCAGATGCCTCAAGAGAACTCCGTCTCCTCTGCTGCGACATAGATCCGGACCTGGTGGAGCGAGCTAAAAAAGAATGCCCTTTTCCTGATGCCTTGACTTTTATTACCCTGGACTTCATGAATCAAAGGAGCCGGAAAGTTCTCTTGAGCTCTTTCTTAGGCCAGTTTGGACGCTCAGTATTTGACATTGGCTTCTGCATGTCCATAACCATGTGGATTCATCTGAACCATGGGGACCATGGCCTATGGGAGTTTCTGGCTCACCTCTCCTCCCTCTGCCACTACCTCCTTGTGGAGCCACAGCCCTGGAAATGTTATCGGGCAGCTGCAAGGCGTCTTCGAAAGTTGGGCCTCCATGATTTTGACCACTTCCATTCCCTTGCCATCCGAGGTGATATGGCCAGTCAGATTGTGCAGATCTTGACCCAGGACCATGGCATGGAATTCGTATGCTGCTTTGGCAACACCAGCTGGGACCGAAGCCTTCTGCTCTTCAGGGCAAAACAAACCACAGAGACTCATCCAATTCCTGAATTACTGATAGAAGGAAAAGAAGGGAACAGGTTAAGATCTTGGAGATAGTAAGATGAGAGGGTGAGACTAGGAAAGAGATACTGAAAGGCTTTTATTCTGAGAATTAAGTCCACTCTCCTTAACTCCTTAACATTCCGCTTCAAAACCTGGCAGAAGCTTTTAGCAAAATGTCCAAGATGCCATTGAAAAAATCATTGTCTGTTCCCCATTGTTCAGGATGATTCTGAAGGAGAATGCATCTGTGGAGCGGTGAGCTGGGCTGACTGGCCTAGAGAAAACGATCCTGTTTCTGGGATATGGAAGGAGCTGCTTTTGGTGGTTATTTATAAAAACCAGGCTAGCCTTAGAATGTATCAGTTCTCTGGGCTCCTTGATTCTGATCTGGCTTCTTAATGACTTAACTCATCCTTCAGGCAAAACCTCACGAAACAATTTGAAAAGAGTCACTGGCCTGGCTAAAAGTGAGCATAAGTAGGAAAAACATCTTATCTTCCAGAACAGGTCTTAATCTCCAACATGACCAGGCTACAGATACTAGGCAAGATGCATTGGCTGACATTTAAAAGATATTTAAAATATTTAAATTATGGAGGGGGAGGTAGAAGTGAATAAACAGAAGGAGACTTGACTTTGGGTGGTGAACATACAATCCTATCTAATAATAGAGAAACATGGTAATTAGCCGTAACTTCGCTACCCTTCCCATCAGCAAGATATGCAGATTAACTGCCAGCCAAGATTGCGGCTGGCAGCCAGGCAGCTGAAACGAACATGAGGCTTGCTTGCTCCAGTGACAGAGGAAGCCAACGTTCCCGGCCTGCGGCAGCCCAGCTCTGAGCTCTGTTTGCAACAATGTTGCAATTATAGAACCTAAAGAAACCCCAGATTCCTGCTTTCAGCCGGCAGCAGGCTCAGAGCTTCTTA